TCCAGGGGAAGAAAATTAGACTCTGCCTCATGATGAGAGGGTTGGGGCCCAGGTGTGTGGGAGAGCAGAAGGCATTGTTAGTGGCCAACTTTGGAGACAATCGTGTGTGTGTGTGTGTGTGTGTGTGTGTGTGTGTGTGTATGGTGTATAAAATGGTACAAATGTCTATTTGTATCTGTGATGAATGTTAACCTTTCTTCATTTTTGAAATGTGAATTAGCTTGAAATCCCTAAGAAATAGAACATGATAGTTACATAGCTTCCTTTTGCAAACAGCAGCTTCACGTAAAACAGTTCTGTTGCAAGGCAGGTTGCCAGAGTTAAAACTATGTTGAGGATTCCCAAGTGGCTGTAGTATTTGTAGAACAAATAATTGCTTCAGGTGGCTTCTAGGTTGTGAGCAATGATGAACCTCTCATTTTCCTGGTCAGTGGTTTCTCCTGCTCTTTAAATAGATGGGGCTTGTAGACAAAACTTCAGATTCTGTGATACAGTTTCAGATTCCGATTCTTGTGTTCTGGCCTGGGCTCAGAAGTAGCTTTGAACCTCTGATCTCAACGTGCTCCTAGGATTGTAGGTTTCCGTGCCTTTCCTGATTTAGGTAGTGCAAGCTATGCAACCCAGAGCCTTGTGTGCTAGTCAGGCACTCCTTCTCTGTCAGATTCCCATTTAACTAATTATTATTATGATGTATGAATCTAAGTGTGGACATGCTCCCATCACTTTATAGGTGTGGAGGTCTAGGAGTCTATGCCTAGGTCTAGGCCTGTAGGAGTCCATTCTCTCCTTCCACCATGTGGGTAAAGGGGTTCAAGCAGCTGGTGCCTTTATCCACTGAGCCATCCTAATGGTCCTAGCACTGATTTTTTTTTTTAACCTGATTTTAGAATAGTATCTTAATTGACTGTGAGCTTCCTTCCTGCCTTTGTTTGTGGGTGGGGATTGGGAGAGTTAGGGTTTCTTCTGTGTAGCCCTGGCTGTCCTGGAAGTAGCTCTGTAGACCAGGCTGCCTCGTACTCAGATCTGCCTGCCTCTGCCTCCTTAGTGTCCTGCCTTCGTTTTTGATAATCAGTTTCACAGACATTTACAGTAGTGCCTTCTTACCGGGATTTTCTTTTTCTGTGATTTGTTTTTCCACCAGAAAAAGTGTGGTAAATGTAGTATAGTAAGCTTCAAGTGAGACCATATTAATGTAACTTATAATGTACTATAATTGTCCTACTTAAGCTATTTTAGTATCTTATTTGTCTTGTGTATAAACTAAACTATTGTAGGTATGCATATTACAAAGAATCATGGTGTGCTATATACACAGATAGGCTCAGTACTACCTGCAATTTTGGGCATCCACTTTCCTTCTCAAATGTCACATGAGCAGGATTATATTGGTTGTCATTTTTTCAGCCTGCCTTCTTTTAAGTTAGTGTAGTGTATTTAAGATTATATGGCATCTGTCATTAATTTGTTTCTTTTTATTAGATATCATTTATTAAAAGATCTACAGAATGTTTTCCATAATTGTTTTGATAGATATTTAGATTGTTTCCAGCTTGGGGCAGTTCTGAATAAAACTATCATTAATATTTATGTTTCGGATTTAATGGGAACATTTTTTAAAATATTTTATTTGATTTTTATTTTATGTGCATTAGTGTGACGATGTCAGATCCCTTGGAATTGGCATTACAGTTAGTTGTGAGCTACCATGTGGGTGCAGGGAATTGAACCCGGGTCCTTTGGAAGGACAGACAGTGCTTTTAACCACTGAGCCATCTCTCCAGCCGCGGGAACATATTTTTTTAATGTTATGTCTGTAGGTGTGTGCACTTGTGTGAGCATGGCACTCATGCATGAGCACATGTGGAAAGCAGAGGACAAGTTGACAGGTGTCAACTTTTAAGAACACTTAGAGCTGGTCAGGCTGACCACTGACCGTCTGTCACTACCTCCCCAGTGCTGGATTACAAGTGTGTGCCACCAGACTTGACAAGTGTATTTTGTAGCTTTTGTTGTTGTATTTTTAGTTAGTTGAATATGGGTGTCTCCTTGTGGCTATGTGCACAGTACAGTTGCCTGGGGAGGCCAGGAGATGATGTTGAATCTCTGGTCCTGTGTCATGGCTGTCAGCCACCTGCTGTGGGTGCTCTTAACCACTAGGCCATTTATCCAGCCATATCTGGATTTTAAGTGATTTCTAGGGATCAAAGGTAGGTCATCATTCTTTCAAGGTAAGCACTTTTCCGACTGAGCAATCTCAGTAAGGTAAGCCCTAGGACTTACGATTTGATTTGAGTCACATGGCAAGGCTTTAAAGCTATATGAAACAGCCAAACTTAATATGGCTGTGTCACGCTGCAGTCCTACGGCAGCATGGAAAATCTCAAGTTCTGCTTCTGAAGAATGCTGGGCAATTTGCTCTTTTTGTTTTTAACTTGACCTATTCTAAACATGGAATAGTATTTCCATGTTTACCGTTTTTTGTTTTGTGTGTTTTTTGGTTTGGTTGGTTGGTTGGTTGGTTGGTTGGTTTGATTTGGTTTTTGTTGCTGTTTGTTTTATTTGTTTTTTGTGTGGTTTCTTGTGTTTCCTTGGGCTGTCTTGGAATTCATTCTGTAGACTAGCCTGGCCTCACACTCACAAAGATCCACCTGCCTCTGCCTCCTGAGTGTTAGGATTAAAGTATTGTGCTACCACTGCCCGGCTAAGAGTTTTAATGTTCATTTTGTTTGTTAGATATGAATGATGGTTCAGTATCTCCATGTACTCACTTGCCACTGCTTTCTCTTCTTCAAGAAGGGTATGTCGGTAACTTTTGCTTACTTTTTAAGTTACGTTGCTTGTTTTTATATAGAGGTGGAAGACACACACTTTGCTTACCAGTCTTTATCTGATGGAGACATTATAACATTTTATCCCAGACTAACTTTTTATCTTTCTTTCTTCCTTGTGGTGCTGGGGACTAATTCTGGACCCTCACTCTTGTTAGGCAAGAGACCTACCACCAAGCTATATCCGCTACCTTAGACGACGGTGCAATTTGATTATGGTACTCCTTACTGGTCCTGGCTAAGTTTGGGAGATACCCAGAATTGAGATGGAAGTTGTGCTGGTTACAGCGTGGCTTCTGGATCTGGAGCTCATGAGCTAAACTGTTGGACCAATGCTGGTCCTTCACCCAGGTTTCTGGCCTTGGGCAAAGGACCTAATTCCTCTACCTGAGCATCACTTCTGGAGTTCAGGTTCCCCCTCGAATGGATTTCCCTGAGATGAAATGCGCAAGATGTAAATGGCTTGTATGGTGTCTCCCGCATAGGAAGAGCCCCAAATGGTATTTGTTGTCATGGCAACAGTTTGATTTCTGCCTCATGGGTCTTACTGCTAGGACTTTGTTTTTGTTGCTCAGATACTTTTCAAGAATTTTTCCCCCTTTTAAAATATTTTCTTTATGTTTATTGTATTTGGGAGGCCATAGAGCATGGGGTTTGTCACTAGCAAAGCACCTGTGCAGCCGTGTGAGACCGGTGTTACCTGCTCTTTGAGGAAGGATGCCATTTTACCTGTAAGAGTATGATGGACAGGGGCTGCAGAGATGGCTCAGCGGCTGAGAGCACTGTCTGCTCTTCCAGAAGGCCCGCGTTCAAGTTCCAGCGCCCACATGGCAGCTCACAACTGTCTGTAGTGCCCATTCCAATAGATCTGACACCTTCACACCAATGTACATAAAATAAAGTTTAAAAAATATTAAAAAAAATAATGTGGTGGACAGACTAGAGTTAGGCAGACTTCAGTATTATCAGTTCTTCAAAGCAAAATAAGCCTTGTTAATGGTAAAATTTGAGGTTTCAAATAGAAATTAGAGATTTGGGGAATTTTTTTATATGCCATAAGCTCCAGGAATGATAATTAACAGATAGGAATCTTCAAATATTGTAAAAGGAAAACTGGAAACTTCTGGAAGAAGTGTATGAATTTAGTGCACCAGCAGCTTACATATTGCTTACATCATGTTACAAAGCCTTACATGGATAAAAAGATCAGCAGGGTACAGAATAGGCCATTGGGCTCAGATGTACTATATCCTTGTCATTAGTGTTACTATAGTGGTGGCTTGTGCCTGCAGTCCCAGCAGCCTCACAGAGACTGAACCAACAACCAGGAGCCTGCATGGAACTGACCTATGCATGCTGTATGTGTTTCGGTTGTGTAGCTTGGTCTTTTTGTGGCACTCCTAACAGTGGGAGCAGGGGCTGGCTCTGGCACTGGCTGCTTTTGATATCCATGTGAGGCCTGCCCTATTCTGAAGGGAAATAGAAGAAGAGTGGATTAGGAGGGGAGAGGGGAGGAGAAACTGCATTTGGGGTGTAATATATGAGAGAAGAATAAATAAAATAAATAAAAATAAAGATACTTGTTTTGCCCAGGACTGGGTAGTGTGAATTGTGAGTTCCTGGAGAAGATTTTGAGTAGTTGAGTGTGGTAGCTAAGACACTGTCAGTGGGACTTGTTGGAGATGGAGGGTATGGACAGTCAGGTATAAAGTTACAAAAAAAAAAAAAAGTTGCAAAAGTAACTAGTTTTAGGTCCTTCTTACCACATGCAGATAAGATAATCAGTAGACATTAGGAAACAAGAAAAGGAATCAAAGAGAGATGTGAGCTTTACTTCTGATTGCTAAGTCAGGCCAGCAAAGTACTATTGAGTATTCATTTTAAACTCATTGAAGTATAAGCATTGAGAGATTTTTTTCCATTGGAATAGGTTTAAGTTGGTAGTAGATGTTACAAACATATAAAATATGATTTTATAATATGTATCAGATGGAGTGATGTATTTACACCATTACCTTTTAACATCCTAAGAAGTTAGCTAACAAACATGTCTTGTCTTAATGATGTTATTTTGCTAATGCTAACATACATCCGTTTTCTTAAAGACAGGGACTTTGAGCACCTTGAGCACCTGACGCATGAGAGTTAATGTTTGTCCTCTTATTTCTCTAGGGCCTATTCCCTGGTGGATTCGAGTCAAGTGTCGACATTTCTGATATCCATTCTTCTTATAGTCTATGGTAGTTTCAGGTAAGACATTCTTCATGGGGTTGTATTCAGTTGCAGATAGAGGGAGCTTTGCTCAGTGGAGAGAAATGGTTTTGTCAGGACTCCAGTTCAAATGGGTAATTCTAATATTTGTTCTTTGGTTGAGTGGTGCTAAACAATATGTTGGTTTTGCTTATGACTTTAGCATATTAATGCAAACGTGTAAAAACTAATTGCTTAAAACTATGTACAGACAGTGAGTCACTGAAGAGCAGAACTCATTGGGAAAGCTGTGCTACCAGTGATTCTGGTATCACAGGGATCAAAAATTTAAATAGACAATTCAAAATCAAATTTAAATACATGATAAATGCAAAATGAATGATAAACAGTAAATATAAATATAATGTTTTTTCTCTAACTCTGTTGAGCTTTTTTTTTTTTTTTTTTTTTTTTAAAGAAAATCCCAACCATTTTATTTTACCAATAAAGGCTCAGGAGCCAGATCATGGGGTTTAAACCTGCTAGCTCAGAGAGGCAGAGAAAGCACCCAGCTGACCTTCCTTTTCAGCTCAGGTCTGGATGGAAAAAAACCAAAATGCTCACTAGCTTAACTGACAGCCCAGAAGGAAAAGGCCAAAAATCCCAAGGCCAAAGGCTTGCTAGTTCAAAGCCCAAAAAGTTAGGGAGCCGAGGAGCTGAAGCCTTAGCTAATGCCAGAGCTTGAGCTAAAAGCCTTTTCTATTTCTCCATGCTCTCTTAAGTACCCCTCAATTCAAAGTCCCTTCTCCTCTTTAATTCCTGTCAGCTGGTTTCTTGCTCTGCCTCTTGACCTAGGCTTAACTTTATTAGATACAGAATACAGAGAGTTAGTGAATTATAGGTGTATGCTAGGGCTGGGTGAACAACACCATAATCACCTATTTACAGTAAAAAGTTCTTGGATTAAAGGTGTGTGATAGGGCTCAATCACACCAAACAAACAAGAGTTTTACAGTTCACAATTTTGGGGTTCACAATGGAATCAAACATCCTGCAACATAACTCTAAATCAAAGTGTAGTCATAGGCCTTTAATAGACAGAGAAGGATCAAGTAAACCAAAATACAACTGTGCTCAAGAGGCTAGAGAACATCTTCCTTGTTTTAAAGGACTTCTTCACGAAAGCATTTTTACAGAAATTAATTTTCCTTACTACAAAAGGAAAGCCATACAAATTGCTAATAAGAGACTTTTTTGACCCTCAGAAACCATTCCGTGTGACTCACCCTGTTACCAGAGTTGAGTGTAGTAACATTACCAAGTCTTCTCTGTTGCCCTTGGGAATGCTGAGCCTGGACCCTGATGAAGACATACTCATTCTAGCATGCAGCTGAATAACTAGAAAGAAAACACAAAGGAGCCAAACAGGTGCCCCCTTTGAGACTATCTGCCGTTGAAGGACCTACAGGGGTGGTGTAATTCAGATCAGTGTGTGGCTGACACACACAGTGAAAATGAACGCTGCAGGCTGGAAGGATGGCTCAGCAGCCGAGAGCACACTCTGCTCTGCCATAGGACCCTTGTTTGTTTCCTCGCACCCACTGTAAATTCAGCTCTGCTGGTCCAGTACCCTTCTCTGGTCTCTGAGGGCACCAGCACAATGTCATACACTCTCAAAGGCACAGTACACACACCATAGAAATAAAAGTGAAGGCTGCTTGGGAAATTTTAAGTTAAGAAAGAACTTGAAACAGCATGAATGATAAATAGGTCAGCAAAAAGATTTTGAACTATTTAATATATCTGGATTTTCATAAGTACTTTGTAAAATCATAAACTTATAGTCCTTTACTCCAATCATTGTAGAAGAATATATACCATAATATATACACTTAATTTTTTGGGGGGGGGGGGGCACAGTATCACACGCCTCTAATCCCAGCACTTGGGGAGGCACAGGCAGGCAGATCTCTGTGAGTTCAAGGCCAGCCTGGTCTACAGAGTGAGTCCAGGACTGTACACAGAGAAACCCTATCTCGAAACAAACAAACAAACAAAAAGATGCTAGACACTGTAAGTCATGTTTCGGTTTTTCAAGACAGTTTCTGTTCAGCCTTAACTGTCTTGGAACTTACTCTGTAGCTTAGGCTGGCCTGGAACTCATAGAGACCCGACTGCCTCTGCCTCACAGAAAAGCCTTAGGTTCTTACGTTGGGTTGTGGCTGTTTTGTTTGGTTGTTGTTTATCAGCACAAGCTAGAGTCCCCCAGGGAAAGAAGGAACTTATGTTAGAAGAATCGTCTATCAGATTGAGCAAATTTGTGGGGGCATATTCCTGATTGATGACTGATGTCAGAGGGTGCAGCCTTCTAGGGCAGTGCTTCCCCTGGGTAGGTGGTCTTAGGCTGTACAAGAAAACAAGTTAAGCAAGCCAGTGAGCAGTATTCCTCTATGGTTCTGATTCAGTTCCTGGCGTCAGAGCTCCTGCCCTGACTTCCCTCAGTGGTGAGCTGTGATCAAATGAGTAAACCAATAAACCCTTTATTCACTTAGTTGCTTTTGGTTGTGGTGTTGTTTTTCCAACACAGTAAAGTAAAATAGGACACAGTTTTTATTTATTTGTGGAATTATTCTGAGACATTCTGTACATAACACTAGGGGTTGTCCTAGAACTATGTGGATCATGCTGGCTTCAAATTCATGGAGACCCTCCTGCTTCTGCTTCCTGAGTGCTGGAGTTAAACACATGTGTCACTGTGCCCAGCTTAGAACACAGTTCTTAACCACTTCTCAGAAGCCAGGGCAATTAGCACCTTACCAAAGTGATCTGTACTTTCCATTTCTGCCCCTAATATTTTATCTTTTCCATTTTTAAAAGACTTGTAATTTAAAACAAACAAACAAACAAACAAACAAAAGCCATCTTTAGAGTTAGTTACAACTCACATCACATTCATTAGTGGAAATCACCTTTTGTATCACACACAGACACACATATGTACTCACATACAAGTAACTTGTATACATTTAGAAAGTTAGGGTCCTTTACATAGTGATTCTTGTCATACATAACCCAATTGTTTTCTGTAGTCATCATATTAGGGTTTAGTAATTTAATAATTTTGTGTGTTACATATACTGTTTTTGTTGGACATGTAAGTTGTTAACTTTTTTATGTATTTTTTTTTTCCTTTGGTAGAACTCCGTTGTTAAGATGGACATTTAGGGCCAATAAAATTGCTCAGCAGGTGAAGGTTCTTGTTGTACCAGCCTGGAATTCCAGGTCAGATCTCAGGAACCCATGTGAAAATGGAAGAAAAGGACCAACTGTGCAGAGTTGTCCTCTGACCTCCATACTTACCATGGTGCATATGCATGTATGTTCTCTCTCCCCCTCTGAAATAAACTTCTTTTAAAGATAAACATTTAAAACTTGAAATAGGTAACTAGAGAGTATGAACTATCTCTCCCTACTACATGCTGCAGTAGTATTTTTAGGAAATTGCACCAGTTTATTATTGAGCAGATTTTAACATTGTATTAAAGAGAGTGATAATGTACCATGCAGGTGGAAAGGGTCTTTTGGACCTTCTGGTTTACATTGAGGAGACTGGAGCCCAGCAGGTTACCAGCACTCACACGGCTGTATACCTAGCTCATTGCTAATGGAGTTTGGGTTGGGATAGTTTTAAGCTGCTGGTCCCTGTATATAATACCTTTTACACTTGAATATGTTTCCTGTAGAAAGTAAATCATGGTGCCTTTGGTTATACTTTTTTTAAGTTGAACTGACTGAGTAAGCATTTCTTCCTCTTCTGTTTTCTGGGTAAAATGCTATTTCTTTAAATATTTAATAGAACTCAACTTTGAAACTATCTGCATGTAGGCTTTTCTGTGTACAGAGGTTTTCTTGATCTGGCTTGGCTGAAGTCCTTTCTTTAAAAAAAATTTTTTTTTGAGAGGGGCTGAAGAGAGAGCCCAGCCAGTTAAGAGCACTGGCTGCTCTTCCAGAGGTCCCAGATTCAATTTCCACTACCCACATGGTGGCTCACAACCATCTATAATGGGATCTGATGCCCTCCTCTGTCATGCCAGTGCACATGCAGACAGAACACTCACGCACTATAAGATAGATAGATAGATAGATAGATAGATAGATAGATAGATAGATAGATAGATAGATACATACATACATACATACATACATACTTTCCTAATATATATAATGTAAAGCATACCATTAAAAAACTCTTTAAGTGCACAGGACAGCGACAGACTTAAGCACGTGCTGTTTGCCATCATTCTGTTACAGCTATGTTATTACTAGAGTATGGGGTGGTGTCAGTGACACTGATTGCATTTCTCTGAATGGTAGTGAAACTGCTGTGATCTCTCTTGTGTGTAGCCATCTGTTTTCTTTGGTGAAGCACCTTCTCAGGAGTGCTCTCTAACAGATGGAGGTTAGAGCTGTCTCCTACCCTCTGGCTTGCCTTTTCATTTTTTTAGTGTTGACTCTCAGTACAAGCATAATTTTGTTAAAGTCCACCTTCTGCCATGTTTATAAATCATGCCTTTATTGTTGTATCAAAGAATTTACCTATTTACTGAGATGTTGTAGTAAACTAAAAAAAAAAAAAAAAGTGTTGAGCTATGTTTATTTAGTCCTGAGGTTATTATTTTCTATTTAACCCATTATCACAAATAGTAAGACAGACACCTGTTAGATTTTATAATTGCCTATTTACTTTGGGCTGGGCAGATATTTCCCCTACAGTGGCTCAGTATCCTCACCATCCATCTCCCAGCCCCCATCCAATGCCATCCACCTTAATCCTTCTCATCTGGTCTACCTTCCATTCATAATCCTATGGTACTTGCTTGTATTCTTCATCTGGGCCTTTTCATGCCATTATTGGAGTCCCTGCTCTTGGCCCCCACATGTTTGCCCACACACACACCAACCTATTGTGGCATAATGTTTTGTTTTGTTTTTTTTTCCACACTAACCCATCTTGGTGTCCTCCCTCTTCCTCTCTTCCCATCCTTTGAGTCTCCTGACCT